TGACGTGTTCAATACTTATTTTACATACTGTATACAGTATATATGTGTGTGTGTGTGTGTGTGTGTGTGTATACCTTTCAGCAAGGCTATAATCATCATGATTATATAGATATGCATTTTTGTTGCTGTGTTTTTGTTATCTCTGTTTCCGTAGGTCTACAGCCAAGATGTCGGGTGTGTTGTCTTATGGTTTTTCTGTATATATTACACATATCTTCTTATCTCTCTTTCACTCTTTTCTTGTTACTTTTTCTTCTTAAACGTCACTGATGATGAAAAAGATAAGAAACTGATATTCAGTTCTGCTTTCTACTGAATTGGCCAAAAAAAAAGTAATGGCTATTACCACATCCAACTTTACATCATTACCGCTAAAAATGACTGGTTATATATTAGTTATTTACAATTTGTGTGTTTGCTAATGTTGATTAGCTGTGGCAGCCTTCTTGAACTGGATTGAATCAGTTGTAGATGTTCATTTAATAATAATACTCTGAAAGTTTCATTAATATATGACCAGTAGATCATGAGAAGTTTGGCTCACAACATACAAACAAGCACATGTGCACACTGTGAGTAGTAATTTAAAAGACTTCACATAACATTCAGATTTTAAATTTAATATTTAAAAATGTTATGGAGATCCAGTGTGAGGTGCAGGGAGGGAAAAACCCAGGGCGCAGGCAAAATCCAAAATGTGGCAAAAAGGTTTATTTTTAAGAACAAAAAGAGGGCTGTCGTGGCAGTAAAACTCACAAAAAGCTCAGGAGGCACATGGAAGACAGCACAGCACAAAACAATGACACAGACTGAACACAGCACACAGAATATAAAGGTAAACTAATTAGGGACAACAAGAAACACCTGGAGGAGACACAAGAGGAAACAGGTGAGCATGGGCGGGGCTGGAGCAGGGCAGAGATACACAGGGGAACACAGAAACACTAGAAAACTAAAGAAAAAAAAACACAGATATGACATCCAGAGCCCAATACATGGCTCAGATGTTTTAACACTGCTGTAGAACAGCAGACATTCTTATAAAAAGAAGAGTCAAAGTAAAATCCAGCTGAGTGAAAAAAAAAAACTGAAGTGTAGTGCTTGCTTCTAACCTTTCCCTGGAGTCTTTCCACAGTTTTGATGGTCTTCAACATATCTCACAGCATGTAACATGGATCCTGGTTCACAGGGGTTAACTAGGACCAGCTGTCCTCCTTCAGTGACATTATACATCATCTTTAGAGAAAAATACAAGATATCAAATTAAACTGACATCTACTGTATCATGTAGAAACTCCTCTGTCTGTTTGTATGTTTTTTTATACTGTAAGACACACAAAATGAGATTTCAAAGACACAAGAAGAGTGGGAGCCATGCAGCGTACAAGAGAAAGTTTAATAAATGGATTTGGGCCTCATGTACAAAGACTTGTGTGGATTTCTTACTGAAACATGCGGTCAAATAAAAAAAAAAAAACAATGTACGCACAGATAAATCCAGATGTATCAAACCGTGCGTACGCCAGCATACAAGCACGTTTCTTTTGTACGTCCCAATCAACATGGAACTGAGAACACATATGAGACACCTCCCCTACAGCCTCAAGTATGGACCAGTGAGGGCGGTATCTTTAAACGTCTTTATTTGTTGCTCTGACAAGCGAATGGTTTCTCTCAAAGCTGCCTTCCACTCCAGCATTCTTCTCATCTCCATCCAAAGGGTGACAGCACACCCTACTGTATTTTCTCCAAGAGTGGTTCCCAAATGATTCAACTTCTGACCCACAAAATAACCATGAAAGAGGGGCTTTTGGGGTTACAATAAGAAGGAATTCGGACCTAGATGTTGTAGTTACACTTTAAATAGACCGCAACTGAAGGATTTAAATGTGAAAAAGAAGGATTCTCCTCGACTTTAAAGAGGAGAGAAAAGTCCAGTTCTTCATTTGGTTTAGATCATATAAAAATGCTTTGATAACTTCTCTTTTATTCTAATCAGTTTAATTTTAAAAGTCCTTCTCCATTAATCACATTTAATGCAGTTTAGGCCTGCACAATATATCACAAAAATATCATCATTGCAATATGAGCAATATAAGGACTGCTTGGACTACAACAATTGTTGACTAATGTATTTGTAGTTTTGAAATTGTATTTTTCATGCTAATGAAATATTTAGCTAGTAGGACAGAGTCTCAACAGCAGCAGCTCACAGCAGATAGGGATGTTCCAATCCAGATTTTCTGGATCCCAATCCAATCCAATTTTTTTTAATGATTAGTCTTCCCGATACCGATAAGCTTTATTTGTTTTTATTTCTTTCCAAGTGACAAGGCTGGTAGTATTAAGTGAGCCCCTCGCACTGAGGCTGCACTGCATAGAAGCGCGTCCCCCAGGTGGTGGATAGGGGGATCCCTGCTGTGTAGGGGTGTGCCTGAATAAGCTGAAAGGTGAACAGGGTGCCGTGAACCAAAAGCAGCCGGGCAGGTGGGGCTCATTAGCCTTGGCAGGCAACCCGCCTAGGAGAAGGAAAACTCTGACATAAAACCTGGGTATTGTCAACACTCGTTAGCCGTCTACCCCTGGTGGATGGCAAGTTGACAGAATTTTAAGATGAGCGGACAAGGTACCGGCCCCCAGTACCCGGCAAAAGGGGGTTTTAAAATCTCCGGGGACCCAGCCTGTGGCACCGTGGGTGCGGGTGCCACAGGTGGTCTTACAACCGTGCCTCTGGTCTATCTGGTTGGGAACCAGGCTGGGCAGGCCAGTACAGTGACTGGAACAACTCTTACTCTGGCTTCGGAGCCTGATACTTATGTGTTGGGCTCTGGACAACCGGAGGACTTAGGGCCTGGGGACTTGGTGACGGCAAGGCATTCTGCCTTTGCTGATGCTGGGTCTACCAGGAGTACTCAGCATGAGGGTAGCCCCTTGATTGCACCTCTTCGGGGAGCGGTCGGGGCCGCACAAGTGCTTGAGTGTTTAAGTGATGAGGACACCGACATGCTGTTGGGGCCCTCTGATGGAGGAAAGGTCAAGGGGGGAGATGAACTCTCAGGAGATCTAGAGGGTCTCTCCCTTCAWGACCTTAAGAAAAAAAGGAAGAAGAAGAGGAAGAAGAAGAAATCTTCTTCCTGTTTGGTGGCTGGGAAGGGGGAGTTGGCAAAAGAGCCTTCCAAAGGCTCGGATGCTGACCACCCTAAACCCAGCACACCGAAAACCAGTGCTGGAGACGGTGCAGGGTCTTCTTCTCGTAAGAGGAAGAGGGCTACAGTCTCGACTCCAGATAGTGCCCAGGCCCCGAAGAAACATCGCAACAGGCCTTCAATGGCACTGGCTGCTGGTGGGGACTTACAGGTCATCATCTTTCTAGATGATGGACCACACAGACCTCTGAAAAAAGAGGAAAGCGAACACGTGCGGGCCAGCCTGGTGGGGCTCATTGACCAGGTGCCGGACGACCATCTGGTGCCACGGTTCAATGAGTCAGGTCTTGTGCAGGGCACCTTTTGAGTGACCTGCGCGGACGAACCAGCCATGGAATGGCTCGTACGTGCTGTCTCCCAGATCCCTAGTTGGGAGGGCCATGGATTCTCTGCCAAGAGAGTCCGGGACCTCCCAGTTCTCAAGAGAGTCGGGGTATTTGTGCCTGAGGAACCTGCAGAACCGCAGGTGATTCTGCGCCGACTCCGGAGACAGAACCCGGGACTGCAAACGGATGTCTGGAGGGTAGTTCATGTTGAGCGGCAGACTACTGGTCAGTTTCTGCTTCTTGGTGTGGACGACAAGTCTCTAGATGCCTTAGCAGGTCTGGGGAACAGGCCATAATATGAGCTGAGCCAGCTGACCTTTAAGGTCAGTGGCAAAGCAATTAGTGAGGCCAAGTAGTGAATCCTATCTTACCCAGTCTCTGTGGCTGTGGGGATGATGGAATTCATTCAGAGCAACTTGCATCACTGTAAAGAGGCCAGTACATTGCTGTGTACTTGCCTTAGCAGGATGCACACAGGCATCGCTTTGATCCAAGAACCTTGGATTGTAAAATCTATGGTGAGAGGCCTGGGATTTCCTGGGGGCTCACTTTTATATGATGTGAGCAGCCAAAGACCCAGA